AGAAGAAGATGAAATTAACCTGTCCTGAATGGATTAAACCCATCATCGCCCAAGCCGTGTGTACCAAATTAGACCGGTTTTCTTCCAGTGGCACATATTCCTGTTCATGCACACAAAAAGTGTTTTACAAAAATATAAAGATTCGACCAAATGTAGGGTGAAATGTAAAAAAAAAGTTACCTTCTTGGGGCATGAGAGGTAACTTTCTCCCCAGCCGCCGTCATCTCTTTGTGTCGTCAGCAGAAAATTAACCGCTTTTCTGACGGCTAAACAGTTTTCGTAACTCTTGCCAGCTGCCGCCAGCCCGCCAAGCGCAAACCATGCGCCGTAAGTAAAGCACACGCCCCAATTTCCGTACCTGAATTCGAAAGCATGCATAACTTTTATTATTATTTATTTATTTATTTGTTTAAGTTTTTATTTGATCGTGGTTCGAGTTTGGATGGTCCAGGTTTTGGCAAAAATGCATTTTTAGTCTTGTTGTTTTAACAAAATTTTAAATTACAAGATTGAAATTGCACATAAAAAGTATGGGAATTTGAGAATTTGTTGCAATTTCAGTACTCAAAGGACTGAAATTGCAGTAAAATATTAAATCACAAGATCAAAAAAATAAATAAAAATGAAATGTTGGAACTGTAAGACTAAAATTGTTACAGCGTTAAACCAACATGACTAAAATTGCAATTTTGTCCTTCAGTCGGTCGAAGAGTATAGTTTCGTACCAAGAGCCGTCTGGCTTTTGAATGTCTTCAAGATAGCCGATTGCCCGTTTTATGAAGAGTTCGATTTCTTTCTTTCTGTGCTCTGGGTACAGTTTTTTAAACAGGACAAGTGCTTGGATTGCTGATGAAGTGCACTCCACATACCTGCATTTGATAAGAATCTTGTTTAGTTGTGACCTTCCTTATTAACTTTTCTTTTATTTCGGTCGAAAGAGATGTATTCATACTCATGCTCGATGACAATATCGGCGAAAAACTCTGTTGGGTTCAGCAACTGTTCCAATGAAAACACACAGATGTTAAACTTAATGTTGTCATTAAATGATCAATCTTTCAAGAATATGAAGATTTATTAGTTGCTTTTGGTTTTTTTTTTTTTTAATAATCAAGATTTTTTTGCTTTTTGAGAAAAAAGCTACCTCCAACCACTCAGAGGCTCCCGCAGGCTCCCATGCAGCTAAACCGCCATTTTTGCTCTGCAATATAAATATTTCATGCTAAGTCTATATATATTTCATGCTAAGTCTATATATCTTACTCATGCTAAGTCTGTTTATAAGTTATAAAGAGTGAACTAATTTCTACCTGCAAAGAAAGGAGTATGTTGACAGCATTATAAAGTCCTTCGGCTTCCATTTTCTCACCAACAATTTCGGGAGGCATCATCGAGAAGAGAAGGCAACACTAACATAAGAAAATCGACAAAAGGAAAAATTAATATAACTATAATTCATTAGTTACATATTTAATTTTCCTATTGTTTCTTGCTTTTTTTCAGTAATTGAACTTTATCGGTACAAATAAATAGTGAATATAAATAATATACCTTCAGTCCTTCAGCCGTACAATCGGAAACTTGCCATCCATGATCTTGGTCCGAGAAAGTCCACGACCCTTTAGAAATATGGCGGTACATTTTTCTAAAGTCACCCGAAGGATCTTGTTTAACCTGCAAATTAAAGCTAGTCGTGTGAATATTTTTTTTTTTCCAAACCGTAACTTATAATTTCGATAAAAAAAATCACAAACTAAACTAACCTGAGACTTCTTTATGAAATCGTGCCCTCTCTTTAACGTGTCGCCTATTTCATCACTTAGATTACTAGCCAACAAAGCTTGTATAGCGAAACCCGTATCCCACTCTTGACTTCCAAAACTCTGCATTTTTTTTATTTATTTTTTAATTCAAGCGAACATAATTGGAAAAAAAAGAAAGAAAAATGATATTTTTTCGACCATATTGTTCATTTCCAAAACTGTTAACTAACTTAACTAACTTAACTACCTGCATTTTCATTCCATCTTCCGCAACCCATAAATAATCAGGAATTCTCGCGAGATGTTTCTTGAAATAATCGCCGTTTTGGTCCTCAACCCAACATGCCAACATGCACAAAACTTTCTCGACACATCCAATTGTAATATATCGGCTGTTTTCATCTTCGTAATGAATATGTTCCATCGTGACTTTTAGAGCTCTCTCTCGTAACTTGTTGAAAGGCCAACGAGTCAACAGAGGCTCGGTTAAGACATAACAACTGTCCCATATCAAGTCTTGTATCCACGGATGAGGATAGTACATGTCCTCCTGATATAAAATTTTTAGTACATTGTTAATTTCAAGTTTTCAACATTAAATTTTTGAAAATATGCTAATTCGTGTTAGGATTTATTTATTACCTTAGCGCATACGTGACGATAGCTTCTCCAATTGATTTCTTCGTAAGGCTGATCGTACAATTCTTCTCTGAGTTGCAAAATGAGAGGAGTGATTGGACCTACGAACCTCTTGCCGTATAAATACGACATTGGCATGTAAACCATTCGGCAATAGCACCACATTTTTGCTGCAAATTTTTATTAGCCAAAAAAAAAGAAAGAAAATCGCAACTATTAGATAAATTAACGGTTTTTAGCCTTGCCGACACATAATTTATACGAATAATTGAGTCATTTACCGGGATGCATGGGGAGAAAAGAAGGAAGAAGCCAAAATTCAGGGGGCATTGGGTTACTTCCTGACCAATCGAACACTCCCAATATCTAGAAAAAGAAACCAAGTTAGATTTTCTTTTTTTTTTTGATCTTTTAGGTGATTATCGTAATTATAGTATTTCTCGAAAGTTAATTCGATATATATTATACCGAAAGCCAAGTCTTTCCCCAAGAAGGTATTGCTTTGACTGTGCCGTGATCGAGTATCCATTTTCTTGCTCTCGTGCAAGCATTTTTGTCGGGCCCTTCGCCTAATATACGCATACATATGTAACTTAAGGCCGTGCAAAACATCGTGCTGTGGCCTTCTACGTGAAATCCCCACCCTCCATCTTCATTCTGTTTTAATTTATTTCCGAATATTGGCCATTAGTCGACTAATGTTATTCGATATATATAAAAAATATCCACACAAAATTGTACATAATTTTTTCTTAAAAAAAAATATTAACAAATTAACAATGCACCTGATGACAATAAATGTATCGTAGAATCTCTCGACGATGCTCTGTTGAGAAAACAGAGTTGAGATGGCCAGTGATGTACAGAATCATAACCTGCATTTGGTTTTTTTTTTAGCATAAAACATATATTTTTTTTAACACTAAGTTTTTTTACATTAATTCATTAATGAAAATTATTACAAGTTGTAAAATTGTTTTACCAGAGGTGGAAGAAAGAACAATGGGCCGGCATTTTCTGCGGGCCAGTGGCCGTCGCTCGCTTGCAGGGCTGAGAAGAAATGGACGGCTCGCCGGAGTGTGGTGGCCGCCGCCTCATAGGTTATATCTTGGCCGTCGGCCACCTTAACTTGGGGTATTGTTTGTTTGAAATTCTTCTCATGCAAGAACTGCAATATTTTTTTATTAGTTAGCTAGGGGCAAAATAGTATTGACTGTTAGGTATGAATGAACTAATTTTCGTGTGCTGAATAAATCATATGTTTGTTTATTTATTTACCTCGTGCGAAAAAATGGGCCCGTTGCATTGTTTATTTTTATTTATTTTTTGAGAAATAAAAGTTTTCAATTTAGATGTTGAATGAAATAAGTCAGTTCGTGAGTTCGGTTTGAATTTGACTCGGTAACGATCGTTAATGCTCGAAAAGAAAGGGATATTTTATGTAGTTTTTTATAACTCGATTTGTTAAGGTTTGAACTCTGCTCATCAATATTAATAAATTAGTCGAGCTCGAACTTGTTTATTAGTTTGTTTTTTTGACGAGGCTTGATAATGGCTTGAACTCGAGCTCTAATACCTATTTGAGCTTTTAGCCTTGGACCGTGATCGTTTAATTTTAAAATACAAATAAAATACGAATTCATTTAAAAAAATAATAGTCAATATAGGGAACCCAGGGCCAGGGACCCATTTTTGTCATTTCACATATGAACGTGTTACACTTGCAACCAACAATATCCACCATGACTCCATATATATCCTATACCTTATCAAAAAACGGTATGACATGGACAAAATTAACAACTCTATATGGAATTTTTTCTACCTGTTGACGATGACATAAATATTGAATATTAAATCAGTTTTTTTTTTGATTAATATTAAAATGTTTATTCGGGTTGTATGCTAGTTAGTTTTTACAGAAAAATGTTCAAATTAAGAAGAACCTGTATCCGCCAGAGGAGGTCACTACTGGGCTTGACCCGGTGCCGGTTGGCCCAAAAGTCTTGACGGGCCTTCTCAACCTCTTCCCTGAGCTCGGGCGTGCCATAATTTGGGTCGAACTCCCAAGTTTGTCGGCCCACATAGTTGTTTGTGCTGTAGAGATGAGGGCTGTCAACTCCTTCAGCAATCTTCAATCTCCACATGATTCTTGTTTTTCCTTTTTTCAATTCAGAAAATCTGTTTTTCAAGCCAAATTTTTTGGGCTTATATATATACGTCATACGTTTGCGTGCCAATTGTGTTTCTTTAGCCATTTCCTCCTTTTAAGCAGCATTTAATTTAGTGCTTGAAGATAAGAGATTGATTAGCCAATTAGGTTCATTAATTTTCAACCTTTGTCGTGTTAGAATTAGATTTATTAGTTTAATTTTTGTTTAAATGATGAAAATAAATTTACAATCTTGACCATGGGGAAAAATTCGTGCATTGGAATAAATCTTTGATTAAGGATATATCGATAATATTTACCATTAGTAGATTCATTATTGTTCATGAAAGTCATGTAATCATGCATAATTTTTTCATATGACTTGGTTAATGATTTTCATGTACTTTTATTACTGTACCATAATGTTATATGTTAGTAGAAAAAAAAAAGTACCTTGTAGATATTTTATTGACCAATTATAACATCAACTGATATAAGAAGTTTGACGACCCACATCACTTAAAAACCGAACTAATGATTAATGTTGTGTTTGGTAAAACTAACTGATAAGCTAGTTGATAGCTTATAAGTGAATTTGGATCTTATAGCTCATAGTTTAAAGCTTATGACTGAAAGTTAGTTGATATGATAAAAGTGTTTGGTAAAATGAGATGACAAGTTAGCTGAAAAAAATAATTCAACGGACTAATTTGATAAACTAAGCTTATTTGTATTCAAAAAGCTTTATAAGCAAACGAAATAAGCTGTAAACTAGCTTATGATGCTTACCATACACACTCTAACAAACAAGAAGTAACTTAAATCGGGTGCACAAAACCCGAAAAAGGAGTACAATATACATTGCAAAATACAAATTATATTAATGTGTACGTACTATACGTACTTAATTGATAATAATACACAAAATTCTGAACTCATGTATAATTACATGCTTGTCATCAATTTCAAAATGCAGCAGCAGGTGAGAGATGTAACATACCTGAGTAGCAAATTGGCTGATGAACAAAGTTTTCAATAAGCTCACAAAAGGTTATTTGCTATATGTGAAGAATGTGAAACACAATCCTACTTATAGAAAGTAACTAATACACATTTTTGTACTATGTTTGGTACTTGTGATTTTTCCCCTAATTTTTCCAAAGACTAGAGGATTATGAATGTGGGTTTGGTAAAAGGAATGAATTTATAAGATTAGAAACTATCTGTTTTTCACAGAAAAATGATGGTGTGTGTATGTACATATATATACTCTCACACATATTACACATGGGGAGTTATTGATAATTTAATTATTTATAAGGACCATGTGAAAGATATTCTCCGCTATAAAAAGAATTTATTAATGTAAGTCGAGCAAAATTAAGGCCATGCAAGTCAAAAGTGGTGATCCATGGGATAATGGAGGCCCGAGTAAAAATTAGGTGATTTTCAACTTTTATTCCTATTAAATTAGGTTAGGTTTAGTTTTAATTTATCCATTTAAAAGGAGACAAAAAGAATTTGACTTGAACGTGTGGACCATGGCAATATTTTATTGTAATTAAGGATTTAAGAAAATATTCGGTATGTAAAAGAAAAGGAAAACGAAAGTCTTCAATTTTCTAGTGATGGCCAAATCTCGATTTCGAGTTGAGTCGGAACAGTCGGTTTCGGGTCGGACTGTCGGCTCCGGGGCCCATCTTTTGGGCCCACATCACACTAATTT